GTACAACTGCAGCAGTGGAGGACTATTATTCTGCTGCGTGATACTGTGGAAGAACTGATGAAGGCACAGTTTGATCTTCGGCTGACCAATCAGCAGAAAGGGGTGTTTTATTCCCGCCCACATGTAGAAATCAAATATTCAAGCTGTTTATTCATTTTTCCACCCATGAACGAAAACGAAAATTTAAGCTGAATTCTCGTTTCTCGTTTTTTGGAGAAAAACGAAAAAACGAAAAAGGAGCCGTTTTCTCATTTTTCTACTTTCAATATTAAATCAAAAAACGAATGATCGAATGATACACGGATTTTTAGAGACTTTTCTGCACACAAAAACTGTTTTTTTTTTCTACAGGCTCGTGCGCAGTAAATTTCGACCTCCATAACCACAGCTGGCGCTGTTGTTATAGTAGCGCTCATATCGTCTCTCTGCATCACATGTTCTTATTTATTAGGCTGTGGTCCCTTTAACATCCAACTCATGCGGCGTTTTCTACTTCCATCCCGCGTGGTAACTTTAGGAAGTCGTGCATATGAAGAATATTTCCACATGACAGTTTATTTATGTTAGACCGACATCGATATCTAATATTCTTATGAGTTTCATCTGATCCAAATCGTGTCTAAATACTGTCAGATTGTCATTTGCCTGTCATCAGCTTTGGTCTCATGGCCGGTGTAGTTTATTTGATAATTTTGAATAAATAACGGTTTAACGTTAAACGGTGAAAATCATGTCAGAAGAGCTGGAGCGCATCCTGGCCCGGCTGACAGAACCGGACAACGCCGTTATCCAGCAGGTAACGTTAGAAATACCTATATGAAACTGTCATCCTGGTATATTTTATGCATTTAATATTGATTATGTGAGTAAGAGGACGTTATCAGTTATACGTTAGCTGTAAAGAAAAGTGTAATTATTGCGTGTCTTTTAAAGTTCTGGCGAGCATTAGCGTTATTCGTGGACCTTTTGTGTCAAGTATTTGTTTGATTATCTTTTCATAATTTCTACGCACATGATTAAATTTAAGTTATGTAATGTCCCTTATCAGGCCACAGGTGAGCTGAAACAGACATTTAAAGATCCAGCTATCATCCCTGCTTTATGTGCGGTTATGACTGGATCACAGAACCCACAGGTAACTTACTGTCATTAATTTTAGCCTTTATGCTAGTTTTCATAGTCCTAAATTTAAAGCCTATAATTCTTGCTTCAGGTCCGTCAGTCGGCTGCAGTGATGCTCAGGATGAGAGTCAGAAAACACTGGAAGAAAATCAGTCCAGACCACAGAGAAAGGTTTGGGACTTATTACTTAAATAAAGCAAATGATAAGATAATAATTTTCATTTACTTTTCTGCTGTACATTTTCTAATTTGTGATCAGTTGTTTTCATCCCGCTCCCTTAGTCTGAAGGCAGTGGTGCTGCAGGCTTTACAGCAAGAAACTGAGTAAGTCTGGCTGTGCATGGTACAGAGTGATAACATAATAATAACACAACCATAATACTGAAGGATGACTATATTTACATTTGCACTGTACTCCCCAAGTAGAATACTGTGTTCCTTAGAGCTACAGTAACTGTGGTAATACCAGAGGTTACTAATACACTTTGGCATATGCATTTTACTTCAAGTTTTTAAACATTTTTCTTTATATCCATTTCTCAGGCACACAGTTCGCCACTCTCTCTCTCAGCTGAGCGCAGTTCTGGTGAAGCATGAGACCCCAGACCGCTGGCCTGCTCTTCTCGCCCTATTAAACCAGTCTACTAAAGCAGTAACCCACAGGATAGACAGGTAACCCTGCTTAACTTGTTACAGAAAATGTCTGAGCCACTACCATGGGATATTTATTGTATCAGATCATTACCGTATTCATAAATCATGGTTTTGACATGATACCATACTGCATTACTGCAAAAATTTGGTACTTTAAACATTTTGTTAGTGACCAAAAAGACTCTAATAATATTTATTAATAATTAATTTATTTCGAATTAAAATTTATTTTAGTTGTAAATTCATTAATATTTGCTATTTACTTATTTACTAATTTGAACATGAATACATTTATAGTAAATGTATTAATAATTATATAAATTATAATAAATGTGTCAATATAATAAATGTTTATATGTATTAATGTATATAGCTATTTATTATTATTAGAACAAAATTATTAATTAAAAAACAAAATATTAATGTTTAAAACGCTACAAATAAAATAAAAATTTTTAGTAAGTAAAAAGACCCTGTGATTTTTGTTTTTGTTTTGAATGAGCACATGATTGAGATGATTTGAATTTCTTTGAAGTATTACGCTGTCTGTTCTCACATATCTACTTTAAATTCTGTTCAGGTGGTCCTTTTATTGCTTAGCAAAGTGGTGGGATCAAACCCGGAGCCCTTTAAGCCCCACTACAAGCAACTTCTCCAGCTGTTTGGGACTGTTCTCCAAGACCTGAACAATCCCACGGCTCTCTACTACTGCATTCTCACTCTTACCGCCATCACGGCCTACACCGGCACAGAGGAGATGGTCTGTTCTGCTTCTTCTGACTGCTGTAATTGGCCCTTGGATAAAAGATTAAAGGCCCTGATATACTCAAAATGAAGTTCTTTTTCGTTCTTCATTTAGGGGTAAAACGAAGTTCGAAATACGTGAGCAGCGGTATACTGCTATCGAACATCCCGACGCCGCCCACTCTGATGGGCGTTTATATGGATATATAAATATGTGCTGTGCACTTTCCTCTCAGTAACAAAATAAACACAACAAAAATGGAGAGAACAGCAAGCATTTTTAATAAAAAGCATCTGTTCATAGCAACATGGGTATGCTTGCACGAGCTCTGCAAATTAGCACTCCCGTGACGTCACGTCACATGTATTTACATGGCACTTTATTCAATATATTGCTTAAAAGCAATCAGCAGTATTAAAGTATATCGGGGCCTTAAGGCCTGGTTTCACAGACAGGGCTTAGACTAAGCCAGGATTAGGCCGTAGTTCAATTAGAACATTTAAGTAATTTTTATAAACATGCCTTAGAAAAAAAACATTACTGGTGTGCATCTTTAGACAAAACAAGGGCACTGACATATTTTAAGATCAATCAGTGCAAGTTTCTTTCAGTTGAAACAGCTCAGACTTGCATGTTAGTCTGGGACTAGGCTTAAGCCTTGTCTGTGAAAGCGGGGGGTTAGTGTTTAATTCCACAGCCAGCATGTTCAAAATGTTGATTTTCTTTCTTTCAGAACCTGATGCGATCTCTGATCCCCAAACTGCTCATTGCTCTTAAACACCTCATTCAGGCAGACCAGGTGAGGACACTTTGATACAGCCTTGCTGTGTTCGTATGCTAATGCTCTAATCAGGGATTTCATTATGTGCCAGTGGTTTTAAAGTGGCTTTGAATTTCTTGTAAGGACCAAGCCAGTGAGGCGATGGAAGTTTTTGATGAGCTGATGGAAAGTGAGGTGTCCATTGTTGTCCCACACATTGCCGAAATCGTCCGATTTTGCCTGGAGGTTTGTCTACACATCTAAATAGTGATTATGTTGATTTGGAGTTATTGTGTAATAAAGTTTATTTAGTTTCTTCTAGATCAGTGCGGATGTCTCCCTTAGTGATTCTCTGCGCGTAAAGGCTCTGTCATGTATCGCTGTTCTCATCAGACTTAAAAGCAAGGTAACTGTCTTTCCTTGCCTTTGCTTTTCCTTCTAAAGCACAAAACTCTCTTAATGAAATTTGCATGTTCATATTTAAAACATTTGTCTAAGTAAATATTTTAGTTTTCAAAATTTCACCTTTTGTTTGATCTGCTTTTATTTTGGATTTTTTTGTATTATTTGTTGTGTTTTTCTCTTCTTTTTCATTTAAAAAAAACCTGTGTTTTGAAGTTGCGTAAAACCAATCGGTGAGATTTATATCTACAATTAATTTACAATTTAAAAATTTGATTTTTATTAACCGTTTATGCATTAATAAATGTAAAATTAATATTAAATTGTATTATATGTCAATTGTATTATATTATATTCTATTTTAATTCTACTTTATCTATATTTATCATCTTTTTTCTTTCTTTTTTTTATTAAAAAAACAACAAAAAACAAAAACACTAGCTTTCTATTTTTTTCTATTCAATCTACTTGTTTTTCTTTGTGTGTGTGTATAGTATTATA